GGGGAGACCCTCTTAAAAAAAAAAAAAAAAAAAAAAAAGTTTGGAAACCAAAATAAATGAATGTGGGCCAGGGATTTAGCTCAGTGGTGCCACCGCCTGTCTCTGAAGCACAAGGACCCGAGTTCGATCCCCAGCACCAAAAAAAAAAAAAGAAGAATGAATAATGGAATGACGCCCTGAATGAGGGCTGGAGTCCACAGCTCACACAAGCTGCCAAGCTCTGCTCACCCTGCCGCTTTCTGTCCACCCAGGTTCTCTTTCCGGTTGGGCAAGCAGACCTAGATTGTGGCCAAGGCAGTGGCATGGACAGGAAATGACACGGCCTGGCGCCTCTGCTGGTGTTGGGTCCCCGGTGCACCTGCTTGCTCATCCCCTAGTGTGAGTTCCCGTGTGCTGCTCCTCCCCACTGCAGACGTGGACGGCAGTCGGCTTCCAGGAGGCTGGGAGCAGAGAGAACTCGCGACAGGACCGCCTCCCGCCCCAGGGACCGCAGTGGGCAGACTGAGCTGGACCCAGGGGCGACCGAGATCTTTCAACATGGGGCAGAGAAAGGAAAAACAAAGAGCAAGAAAATACAATACTGACTGCGCAGTAGTGATTTTGACTTCACTGGTACTTAGTGAATATTGGATTCTGCTCTCCCATCTTTCTTTCCATGTTTTGCGTTAAATTCATTTTTGTACTTGCTATAGCTCATTGAGTAGTCTGTGTGTGTATATATGTGCGGTACTGGGGACTGAGCCCAGGGTCCCCAGCCCTTTTTTAAAATTTTGAGATGGGGTCTTGCTAAGTTGCCCAAGTGGTACTTGAACTTGTGACCCTCCTGCCTCAGCTTCTCTCGGTGGTACCGGTTTAGCATTAAGATGGTGTATATGGGGTGTGTCATACACGTGCCACTCAGCCTAAGCCATCGCACCATTATATCTGTCACTAAGAGAAAGAAGTACTGCAAAGTATGACATTTAGGATGCTGTTGCTTCTGAGGCTGTTCTCCTAGCTGCTGTGGGAACAACAAACGTGCGTTTGGGAATCAGTGCCAGGATGGAGAGCACGGTGGCTGTGCTGGGAGGAGACACTGGCGACCTGGTCTCTCAGGCTGGCTCACCACACGGGTTTCACCTGCACTGTGCACATCTGATTGGCTCCTGTCTTAATTACTTTCTCATTGCTGGGACAAAATCCCAGCACCCACAAGCTAAAAGAGGAAAGGTTTCTTTCGGCTTTTTGTAGAGGTTTGGGCTGGCTCCAAGAAGGACCTCAGGCAAGGCCGACTGGAAGCAGAGAGGGGTCAGGCAGGAGGACGAATGTGTACACCACCCTCCAGGACCAGGACCAGGTTACCCCGACAGCCATGCTAGCTGTTGCCCTGTTGGTGGCTGATCCAGGGTCACATGCCTGTGATTTAGTCATTCCCCAAAGCCCCACCTATGAACACGAGGCTTTGGGGGACCCCTAGATAGGAGCCATAACAGTTCCTTGTAACAGGGGACCAAAGGCTGGTTCTGATCCCTCAATTTCTCATTCAGAAACTGCGGGTCTGGGAGGTTAAGGTACCTTACACGAGGCCGCACAGCCACAGAGCCGGAAGTGGCCGCCCTGGGGCAACTGCATTGTTGGTTGCAAAGCTGTGTACCTGGCCTTCCCGCCAGCACTGATGTTAATGGTGCCATCTTCTGGCACGCTCTGCCTGCCACCCTCTGAGAACACTTTTTGTGTTTGGTTGTTTGAAACAGGGTCTCACTGTGTAGCCCAGGTTGGCCTTGAATTTTAAACGATCTTGCCTCAGCTTCCCAAGTGGTGGGATTATAGGGGTGCACCACCACACCTGCCTTCCTAGGTACCTTCCCCGTGTTGGCTCCTTGTACCCCCAAGAGGTGGGGTTCATTATTGTTCCTGGGGTCCACTCCAAGCAGTTAAGACACAGGGCCCCAGCTGAAGCATATTCAAAGCAGGATTTGCCCTAGGTATGAATGAATTCCACCACCCAGGACTTAGCCGCCTGCTGCCAGGAAAGGTTGCAAGTGCCATCCTAACAGGGTCATTGGATCTGGGGCTCCTGATTTCTAGAACCCCTGCAGAACGCTGTGATGTCGCATGGGGTGGGTGGAAGTTTCTCACCTCCGAGGCAAGCGCCAACTTGGGAGAGGAATCCATACAGCCCAGCTTCACAGCCACAGAAGCGCTGGGCCCGGAAGCAGACCACAGCTGGCTCCTGGGATCACCCCGACACCTGAGCAGTCCTTGTCTGCATTTTCCTGTGTATAGCGGCCCATGTGGCCTTAGCACAGATGGAAGAGTATGGTGTATATGGCTACCCCAATTTACCATCCTCCTGGCCCGGCGTGGTGGCTCACACCTGCACTCCCAGGGCTGAGACCGTCTCAAAAAATAAAGAGAGCCAGGGATATAGTTCAGTGTGAAGGCCCTGGGTTCAGTCCCAGTATCACACAAAACACCGATGCCTTCCTGCCTCCTCCTCCCTCACAGGGATAGACAGGGCAAGAGAACTTACATTGAAAGCAATGCCCAGTTAGGACCGCACAGGAGCCAGGCACTGTGGTGCACGCCTGAAACCCCAACACTCGGGAAGCTGAGGCAGGAGGATTGCCACAGGTTTGAAGCCAGCTCTTGGTAAAATCTGGCAGGGGGAGTGGGTGTCCCAGAAGGAAGGTGTAATCCTGGAAAACAAATCCCCAAGCATTTCAGTGCACAGAAGCAACACTGTATACCCCTGGCCCCAGCTGTGCCCACCCTGGTGGCTTCTAACCACAAGTCCAGTGCTGGCCAGGTGGGAGCAGGATTGAAGGTGTTTTTGGAGCCGGGTCTCAGAAGGACCCCAGGAGTAGTTGTCGTGGCAGTATCTTAGACGTGAAGAAATCATTACAACTACATATCAGAACTTGGAGGTATTTACTCTCAGTTGTGAGCACTGTGAATAGTAAACGGTGGAGCCAGGGATTTAGCTCAGTGGTTCCACAGGCTACCTCACAAGCACAAGGTCCTGAGTTTGATCCCCAGTACAAAAAAAAAAGTAAACAGTAAGCTGGGTGTGGAGGTGCACACCTGTACCCCGGCACTGAGGAGACTGAGGCAGGGAGACTGCTGGAAGTCTGTGGCCAGCCCGGACTACATTAGGGGAGCCTCTCAAAACTCAAAGCATAGTAAATGGTAGAAACCACCCCGCTCATTAATCCCAAGAACAGCTGACATCCATGACGGAGGGTTATTAATGTGCTTGCTCTTCAGATCCTCCCCACAGCTGCCCAAACTTCGCTGCCTCCGTGCAGTGGAGAGAAGGACACCTGGTGACACGGCCAAGGGGCCTGGAGCCAGAGCTCCTGTTCTAGGGCACACTGTCCCCTCTGAGGTGACGACCGAGTCCCAGGACACCCCTGCAGCAAGGTCAGGCAGCACGGCCAGCTGCTCCCACCCGAGGGGAGGTGACCTGCGGGTAGTCACAGGACTGATGACTGCTAAAGCCGACGCCAGATGTCCAAGCCCAGGGCACTCCCAAGGCGCATGGTCACCAGCGCAGAGATACCGAGGATCCCTGAGGCTCTGCCCAGACACATTAACTTTGCATCTTTACAAGCACCCTGTGAGGCTCACAGACAGATGAGGAAACCGAGGCAGGAGTTTGATCCTAACCTGGACTACACAGCAAGATCCTGTCCCAAAAAACCAAACCAAACTCAGACACAGATGGTGTAAAAGAAAACAGGAAACCAAGGCCTGCCCCATCTACTTCTGCTTTGTAGAAACAGAGAGACACATAGGCAGGCTTGCCTGGCAATAAATATTTTAATTTTAGTTTCATTTTATGATGACAAATAATTTTCAAGTTTACTCCTTTTTTGTTTGCTTACATACAAAGCGGAACCACAAATGGGTACAACCAAGACATTTTCTCTCACATCGACGTGCTGCCGCGGACCAGGCTGGGGTGGGGAAGACGTTCTGGGTAGCACCGGCCTGAGGGAGGCCCAAAGAGGTGGGCAGGAGTTGGAGGGCAGGTGCTGGCCCTGGCTCCACGCACAGGGAGGGACCCACAGCTGGTCCCCGCTGGAGGGAGGAAGCCACCTGCTCCTGCTGTCACCTTCAAGGTGAGACCCCAGCTCCTGTGCTCACAGCCAGGGCACCAGGCGGTCTAACAGCCTGGACAGCAGGTCTGGAACTTTCAACTCAGCAGTGCCTTTCTGGTCCCACTACAAAACTATTTTTGATTGGAATAGAGAACCATCTCAAATCTCTCCTACATAAATCAAACAAAACCCTAAACCCCCAAAACAAAACCAAAAATGCAGCCACTTCACTCATTTCAAGACCTATATACAAGTAAGTTGCTTTTATTTATTTATTTATTTTTTTTTTGAGACAGGGTCTTGCTATGTAGCTCAGGCTGGCCTAGAACTCACAGCAATCCTTCTGCCTCAGCCTCCCGAGTGCTGGGATCACAGGCATGCGCCACCACGCCCGGCAAGTAAGTTGTTTTCTGTGGGTCTATTTTTTTTTCCTTTTTTCTTTTTTTAAAATTTTTTTTGTGAAATTTCATTATTATTTTTTTTAAAATAAATTCAGTGTTCACATTTCTATAAAGAATGAACCCAGATTTGGGCAGCCCTGCCGGCCTCTAGCATGAGTCCCCCCAGCCCCCTGGGGAACCCCGAAAAGCAGCAGTCTATGGAAGAGCGAGTTCATGCCTGGCCCGCGCTCGGGCCCAGGAAGCTTTCAAGAAAGCAGAGGGGAAGACGAGCTTACTGCGAACCCTTCTATTAAAAAAGATTCATACGCTTCATGGTGCGCCTGTCAGACGTGAGGAGAGCAAGAGCTTGGAGACACCCTGGGCAGGCTGTGGGGGCAGCAAGGTCCCCTGGTCCCACCTGTCCTTGGGGTGGGGTGGGGCGGGGGTCCTGGCTCTGAGGCTGAGGCAGGAGGCTCTCACCCGGCTTCCTAGTTCATGTTCGACTCTTTCCTCTAAAACCTGTGCTGAGTCTTTGACTGCATGCACGGAAGCACAAACGTTCGGCTTGTATGCAAAAAAGGTACAAAATCAACTAGGATATAAAAGTTTTGGTAATATAAGGCCATCTGTTCAAGTCCACCTTGGAAACCTGTAACAGATATTTGAATACTACAGTGAAAAGGCATCTTAATATACTTTTTAAAAAACATCTGAAGTAATCTGCTAAGATTAAGTGTGTAAAAAAAAAAAAAAAAAAACCAAAAAA